ATTTTCATTTTACTTGTAGACGCATCTGTCTCTTAAGTTACATTTATTTCTTAATTTTTCACAAGTCTTTATTTCCTACATTTACTTTTCCTTGCATTTCTGCCTCATTATGCAAATAAGATGGGTGGAGCTTCTTAGTTTAGCTCCTCTCCTATTGGTCAACAGACAGGAAGAAGCAGGTTCCATGTGCAGGTCTACTTTGCTTCAAACTAAACTGAGGTAGCACAAGCATGCAAAGGCAAAAAGGAAAACACTCACCTGTGCCTTTGTTTTTAAGTGGGGCACTGAAATTTAAAATTCAGCCATGCAGACGTCTAATATCTGCATGGCTGAATATTGTTCAACTCCATGCTAGACGACAGCAAGTCAAATCTGAGGAAAGACGATAAAAAGCATCAAACAGAAATTTGATTTGGAGTTTCTTTGTAAATACTCAGTCGAGGCTCGACCCCTGGTTAAATACCTGCTCTGAGAAAACTAAATATAAATACATTTTTACACTTTAATGGATTTTAGGTGCAGATACTAACAAAACCTAAACTTTTATTCAGATCAGTGTGGGAAAGTTTGTCATGAAGAATAAACATCCATTAATTCAGCTTTATTTCAAAAAATGGCACACGCATTAGACAGAAGCACATTCAGTAACGGTTTAAAAGGCTAGTGCAGTAAGTATTCATAAAAGCTTTTAAAATCCCATTTCCCCCTGTGGCTACATGCATTAGTGGCACACATCAATAAATCTGAACACACACTGTGCTGAACCTGGAGCAAGACAACTGCATTGTGTTTACAGTGACAACAGGAAGCTGAAAGAAAAAGACTTAAGTGCTACCAGCTTCCAAACATGGCCGTTGCTTTTTGCACATATTGAACATTTGCTAAAGAAACATGAGGTGACTTTAAACAGTGAGTTGTGAGGACCTCCTCCCAGACAGCAGTGGGTTTCAACAGAACAGGACCTGTCTCCATCTTCGTGGGGTCCACATCACGACAAACAGGTTCTGTTTTTGTGGCACAAACTCATAAAAAAAATTTAAAAAACGGCTGTAGGAGCTGCAGGGCGAGGCTGAACGCTGTGGTTTTACAAGGAGAGGAAATACAAAGAAAGCCACACCCACTGAGCCTGAGCACACCCACAGAGCTCAGAGACAGATCTGAACAGGTGGAAATACCTGTGTGACCTGCCTCCGCTGCGTGTACCAGCTGAACTTTCTACGAAAACTATAAACGTTGTGGAAAAGCCATGGTTGGTGTGGCAAGGAGTGAAGTTACACAATAATTCTAATAATCATCAGAGCGGTGCAGCTGCTGAGTCTTTCCTTCTCTCATGTGTTAAAGTCAGACTTCTTGAAGCGGACCAGGGTAAAAACCAGACCGTACCAGACTCACGTAGGCTCCAGTCCTGTTCAGACCTAAAACAAGCGTCTAACTGAAGAGTGCTGAGTGAACTTGTACTATAAACCTACATATTTCAGCTCCAGGGACTGTAAAGTGGTGTGTGGATAGATAAAGTGGTTTCAGAAAACAAGCAGGGGGCGGGGGCAGGGTCTCTCTGGGACTCAGGAGTACATGGTCAGCTGAAGCCACTGCAAAGAGAAAAACGATCCACGTGTTATGATCAACAAACCCCATCATCCTGAAAATCCTCCGACACACTTACCTCCTGAACGTTGACTCTGATAGTCCCGTTGTTGTCCTTATCCAGGGTCTTGAACGCACCTGGATCAGACCACATCAGAAGCTTTCATACAGTCTGGACTGTGAATGGACTCTGAACCAACACAACCGGTTCTGGACTCAAACTTACGGCACATGGCATCGAGCCTGACCAGGCAGCCGATGTAGTTATCAAAGTCCATGTTGCCGTTTTCATCACTGTATCTGCGGATGATCATCTGGAAGATCTGGTCGTTCAGAGGGAACCCTGAAGAACAGAGAACGGATCAAACCGGTCCAGAACTGTGGAGCAGAACTTCCACCAGGATCACACAAACACTGAAATCTCTTCAGACACCAGGTGGATGAGACAACGACAGAGACATCCCTGAATCTGAGAGGACACTGCTTACAATAACCTGACTGCACCTGTCTGTCTGAACATGGGAAATGAAAAAGGTCATACCAGCTTTTCTGAAAGCGCCGGGCAGCTCAGACGCACTGATGACACCGGATTGGTCGCTGTCACAGGTCTTGTACACGCCCTAAACAGTTAACACAACAGATATTTACAGGAGCTGCACCATCTGATCTGTGTCAGCTGGTTCAGAAACCACAGAGAAGCAAAAGCACCAATAAAAGCAGGGGAGTTGGTAGAATAATACTTTTTGCAGATGAAGCCAGACACACAGCAGAGGGTCAAACAACACTAAAATTATTTGATACAGTTATTATTTGATACAACCACTGAGTAAAACTGAAGCAGAAGAAAGGTGAACCCACCTGCCACCTTTTAATATTGTCCCAGAGATGTTTAAATTCATGGAAGCCCAGTTTTCCTGTGCTGTCGCTCTGAAACAGGATTAAGGTTTTTAACTCAGCTGTTGGATACCTGTGTTGATGTGACAGAACTCAACATGTCCTCATCAACATGATTACATGAAATGTAAAGACCTAGCATTCCTTAAAAGGACATATCACCAACTCCTGATGACAGCTGCAGTCATGTTGGACAAATCTGCAGGATCTCCTGCAGCGAGAGCTGATTTCTTCAAAATGACTCTCAGCTACAAACTAGGGCTGCAACTAACGATTATTTTAATAATCGATTAATCTGTTGATTATTTTTTCGATTAATGGATTAATCGGCCAAATCATTAAAATGCTTAATTACATGAATATGATTAGATATGAATTGTTAACTCCTTAAGGATGCAGGAAATTAATCTGAAGTTGATTTATCTTATAGATTAACAATTAATTTATAAGCAGCCATTTTATTAAAAACCGGAGTTTTCTCTTGAATCAAGAGGGTCTTCCCATAAAATGAATGATTTTTTTTTATAATCTCCTGTAGGGGTCACCTCGAGTGAAGAAACAAGATTTACTGCCTCGAAGCAGGCCTCGGACAGGCCTGACGAGAGGACAGGRACTCTGTCACAAACTRAAYYCTATTTAGGCCATGACAGGTCATTCTAACCGTGGAAGAGAACCCCTCAGTTCTCTTAATTAGATAATGGACAGAACAATCTCTTCTGTTCGTGATTCGTTTGTTGTTTACCTAAGAATGTTTATACATTTGTTAAATCATAATAATGACTGTCACAGGAAAAGTGGAACCACTTCTTTTCTCTTATTGTGCCTTAAGAGATTTATAATGGTATAAAAAAAAATTACAGAGAATCTGATTACAATGTTTTCATTGTGTTTTTATGTAAATCACTGTTTTTATTTTACTGTGAACACAGTAATATAATTGTGGATTTTTCCTGAGAAAATCTTTCATTTATCTGGACTAACAGAAGGTTCAGAACTGATTATAGAACAGAAATGTTAATTAATCATCATAAATGTTTGGCAGTGATTTCTCTTAGAGTCTATCAGAAGAAAGCTGAAAAGAGGTTATCATATCGTTGTTGAATAACCACAGAATTTTAACCTTGGGCTGGCACCGGCTGGCAAATCTTTATCTTTCTCTGACTCATCTCTAAGCCTGAGGGCAGAACCAAAGTTTGTCCGTTTCTTTTACTAACCCGGACGGCTTCGAGCAACACAATCTTCTTCCTGATTCCAACCTAGGAAGACAGCTGGGATTCTCTCCGGAGAAACCTCAGTTTGGCTTAAAGTCTGATCCCATGAGCTAATTAGGGAAGACTTCACAGCCAGGGACCCGGCACGCCTGCCGGTGGTCTCAACCCAAGGTCGAGCCTCTAAGTGTGTTTTTAACTCCCGAGGGGAGATTTTATTTTGGAAAGAGGAACCGGATACGGCTTGAATTTTTCTGGCTTGGACTGAAACAGACGAAAGTTACCTGGAAAAACACCTGTTCGCCACTGACCGGTACGCGAGCCGACATCAGTTCCCTGACTGATCGGAGGHGAGCCAGCTCCTACCCCGAGGGTGCCTTAAGAAGTCATCACCAGGTAAAGCTGATGTGTTCGGAGTGACGTGTCATGTGGAVCCYGAGCTTAGAAAAGACGTGCAGTTCCGGTTGACCCACACTTTGATAAAGTGAAAGTCGTAGTAACATACTAATCTTACTTTCCTCCTTTCCTTGTTCTTAATTTGCCAAAACTTAAGCTAAAAGTGCCAGTAAAATTCTTTGGTTGTTAACATCAGAACTGACGTTTTACTGTTCTATACAGTATAAGAAATCTGAGTTGATGTGAATTGAAATTAGGACACGGGTTTTATCTCATTTAACTCTGATGCTTGCTATAGGAATAACCACAATCAAGTGTAACTCATGATCTGTTTAATTTTTGTAAATAAATGATTGCATAGTATTTTATGAATCAACTTGAACTCGTCTGAATGTTCACTTATTGAGTCACTTTTCACTTCGCACAGTCAAGATATTAACAAGTAATGAGAAATACCTTGGTAAAAGTTTCCTCA